TGTGTGTGTGTGTGTGTGTGTGTACAAAATTATAAAATAGCCCAGGACGTATTCCAGGGACACAGGTATGTTTTCACCTTTCCTATAAGGGGACTGGAAACAAATTTTTAAAATATTTCTGAAATAAGAATCCTACATTCTTAGAATCCCTACTTCTGCTTTAAGAATAATAACATTTGACCAAGGAAGAATAGAAGGACTGTGTATGCACAGGGAGATAGTTCAGGGGGCAGGAGTACATGGGAGGGAAGGACACAGAGAAGAGGTAACTATGGGAGGAAGTGGGAGGGGAGCTGTTGCATTGTGGTAAATTGTAGTCAATGTCATGACACAAAGTGTATGTGAGCTGCTGTATGGGAAGTGAATTTGCTCTATAAATTTTCACCCAAATCATAATTAAAAAAAATAAATAACAAAATTTGTACAGCACAAATACTACCATCCTCACAAATGTCAGCCCCTAGCCATATATAAATGACTTATTTTTCTAATGCACACTTCAGTAGCAAATTCTTATAAAGGATAAGTACATTTCTAGATAGAATCATTTTATAGAAATTATCTCTTTACAAGTGCCTATCTCTATAGCTGTGATTATCAATGGGTTGTCCCAGGACCAGCAATGATGTTGCATCACATGGGCACTTGTTAGAAATGAAAATTCTCAGGCCCCATCAGACCTAGTAAATCATCACCTCTGGGGTTGGAGCTCAGCCGTTTGTGTTTGTCAGCCTTCCAGGTGATTCTGATGCAAGCTTAAGTTTGAGAACTGCTTAACATAAACTTAGTTCTTTGATGAGTCAAGGTCTAAATTTTTTTGTTATCCTGTTAAGGTAATACACTGATTCATAAATAGTTATCATAAGGTGTTTCCCCTGGCCACACAGTAGGCACACGTGTTGTTGGCTTAGGGGGAAAGCCATGAGGCTGAGAAGGTGCAGTATGAGACAATAAAGAGCCTGTGGGGGGAAATCCCACAGACTTCAGTTCAAATCCTCACTGTGTGACCTTGGGCTTGTCACATAACCTCATTGTGCCTTAATTTCCTCATCTATAAAATGAGAGTTATAATATCCATGTGTGTCTACTATAAATTTTGTAAGCTGTAACCAGGAGGGGAAAGAATGTGCTTCATTTTGCTAGGAGTTGTGTTTTGGTGGTAGCGTTCTCACCTTCCACATGGGAGACCCTGTTTGATTCCTGGCCAAGCACAGCCACCATTCATCTGTCAGTGGAGCTTTGCGTATTGCTCTGATCTGAGTAGGTTTCAGTGGAGTTTTCAGATTGTCTTAGTCTTAGACTAGGAAGAAAGGTCTGGCAGTCGATTTCAAAAAAAAATCAGCCAGTGAAAACCCTATAGACCATAATAGTCCAATCGAGCATGGATGGGGTCACCATGAGCTGAGGGCTGACTTGACAGCAGCTACAACAACAAACAGCATCCACTACTAAGCTCCTTGCCTTTTGAGGTTGATAATGAGCAAAAGGGAGGTTATGGTACAAAAAATAAAAACACAAATAAGATGCACTCTTTGCTCTGCAAGATCTTAAAATTACTAAAAGGTTAGTTACTGCACATCATTAAAATTCAGACAAGGAGTTACAAAAGTGCTACTAAAAATAAAGCATGTAAACTCTAGTTACAGATACACGGACTAGGACATTTTCAGAAAGACTTTCAACTTGAGGGTTTTCCCTTAAGTTATTAATCCCTTTGGTGGTTCTTCCATTGCACTGCTTCAAATCTGACCTTTGGTCTTCCAAGTTGTAGGAGAGCCCTGACCCACCCTGCTCTGTGAGCCCAGCCAAGGGTCACTTTTCCTAGGGAGTTCACAGCTAGCTAACTGCATTTGTGTAAACATGCAAAAAACCTAATGATCACCCTCACGGCTCCTTAAGTGTAAATTTATGAGACTGCTGCCTAACATGGGCCCCTCCTTTTCTTTTTTCATGGACCTCTGCCATGATGTTTCTTCATATTCACTATTCCAAGGCTGGCTTCCAAAACCAAAACCAAACTCACTGCCATCGAGTCGAACTCGACTCATAGAGACCCCTCCTTGGGTTTCCGAGGCGGTATCACTGCGGAAGTAGATTACCCAACCTTCCTTCCGAGGAGTGGCTGGTGGTTTGAACCGCTAGCCTTCTGGTTAGCAGTCAAGAGCCTTAGCCAAGTCAAAACACCCATTTTTGCCAGCAACTCAGGTTGGAAATAGTCTCCTGCCCATACCTTATATCCAACGTAACCAGACCACACAGTCACCCACACTTTAGCAGGCGTCTCATCCTCGTTCTCCTTCCTAGAGGACTGCAGGTCATTAATATGAGCCCTTTATTAGTAACACAATCACTTGCTTAGTTACCTAATTTTCTACCTTCCAGGGTCAGTTTACGCTTTCATTTTGTCATTCAGGAGGTAATACATTCTTTAATTCAACAAAATGTACTGTGCATAGGTGGGGTTCTGATGTAGTTTATTAGCAAAACAATAGTCTCTGCCCTTGTGCAGTTCATGTCTCAGCAAGAGTAGACAGGCCAATAACAATGAACACAATGAGTAAATATGTCTTATGTTGGAAACAGATAAATATTACGGAAAAGAGAAAAAGATTGGGAGTGTGGGGTTGAGTGAGTGAGGGTTACAGTTTAAATGGCTGACAGGGCGAGCCTCACTGAGGAGGTAACATTTGAGTGTAGAGGTGAAGAAGGCATGCAGATACATGGCAGGAAAAAAAAATAGTACAGAGACCTAAGGTGAGAGTGTGCATGGCTGATGGATTCAGGGAGCAGTGAGGAAGCCAGTGTGGCTGGAACAGAGTGATGGAAGGGAAGAGAATAGAGAGTAGGCCGGCAAGGAAGGTGGGAAGGGTGGGGCCCAGGTCACATGAGACCTTGTAGGTCTCATGTGAATGGACTGAGCACCATTATTATTGCATCTCTCCTTGACCTTCATGGTGAATACACGTTCAGTCCCCAGTTATCCTCACACAAACAGTGTCTTGGGACTTTAACAGAGTGAAATCTGTGTAATACTCTAACAACTCACATACGTTGTTACCCTAGGAGTTTGTTTTTCTCTGAGATAAGGGTGAATACCATACAACAGCAGGCAGATATTCTGTACTGATATGATTGCTTGGGTGTTGGCATTTCACAGGTACTTCTCCCTTCCAAACAGAATCGAAGGTAGAACTCCTTTATAAAGAATATCAGTCTATCAAAATGCAGCTACACCTCTAAATTATCATTCCCCTGCCTACTAAACAGCAATGCCTTGTTATCGCCAAACTGGAAAAGGAGCCTTAAGTTCAAAGAGAATTTATTGATCCCAGTTCTGCCACAAAAACTCTGTATTCATGAGGACCACAAAGAAAGAAAAGACGTGAACCCTTGAACTTTGATTGATAAAATATTAAGAGAACAGAACAGGGTTGTATGTGACACACGAGGTTGCAGCAGGTTGAATGTTGTTTTCCAGCTTTGTTTAGACCTTTGTCTGGCCCATCCGAACCTTATATTTTTAGAGGAAGCTGACAGTTTCCTCATTTTATGTAAGTCCTTCCTGAGTAAAGTCACCTGAGCCATTTACTGAATGGTACTGGGTCACACAGAAGCATTTCATATTACTTTTGCTTTTAAATACTAAGGTAAGTTTGAACCTTAGGGGGCAGTGAGTTTATGTTCATGGGGGAGGAACAACTCAAAGGGTGAAAGAGGTTGTACAACTCAAAGAATGTCACCATTGTCACTAAGTGGCACATAGAGAAATGCCTGAATTTGGTATATGTTTTGCTATGTATATTCTCAACAACAACAAAGTAAAATTTAAAAGAAAAGTAAGCATATATCTACCCATCTACTAGTAAATATATATTAAATGAGACCAAACCTACCAGCCACTCCTTGGAAGAATGACTGGGCAATCTACTTCCAGAGAGATACTGCCTCAGAAACCCAAGGAGGGGTCTCTATGAGTCACGACCAACTCGACAGCAGTGGTTGTTTTTTGTTTAAATTACAGATATTTAAGGACCATATAAAGCAACAAGATAGAAATGTGAAACAGAATCAGATTTTTGTTAGGTGCCGTCTAGTCCTCTTCAACTCACAGTGACCCTGTGTACAGCAGAACGAAACACTGCCCGGTCCTGTGCCAGCCCCACTATCCTTGCTATACCTGAGCCCATCGTTGTAGCCACTGTGTCAGTACATCTTGTTGAGGGCCTTCCCCTTTTTTGTTGACCCTCCACTTTACCAAGCATGACATCCTTCTCCAGGGAATGGTTCCTTCTTACAAATCAGATTAGAACCTGTTTTATTCATTCATTTTTAAACTAATGCTTTGATGTTGGTATGTTCAGATATGATAAATGAAAACAATTATTTACTCATTTTATAAAAATATATATGTATTGTTTTTTATTCATTGCTGTAAGTATTTCAAAATAGCTATATTAGTGCAAGTCAAACAGCTTATAAATTTCTTGTTCATGAAATACCTTGCTTGGAAATATTTTATCATTTGTTATTTTTCATTGATTTCTCAGATCTGTACAAACTTTGTATATGCCATCTGAAGTTGCTCTGGGCAGAAAAATGAATTTTCTGAAGAATATGGAACTATATTCTGGGCTTAATCTGTTATCGCAAAATAGTATAGTCTTTTTCTGTTTTCAAAACTATTTTATACCTACTAGCTCATTCAGTTCTCACCACAACTTTCTAAGCAGGGTAGGACACTTATGGATCAGAAGATTGAGCAGGGAATAAGTGATTTATTGAAAGATGTTCTTCTCACATTAAAGGGATAACAAGGACCCAAATCTCTTAACTTTATTTGACACAGCCTGTCCTTAAATGTAATTGCATGGTTCTAAGGATGTGACAATACTGTAATTCCACAAAATATTAGTGAGGATCAGTCTTGGAGGCGCTAACCCCAGCTATTCCCTTTGTTGGCCAAAGAAATAAAAGTGCCTTTCTGTTCTCCCAAAAATACATATACATTAGTATGTGACTTTGGCAGGCCTCAGGTCTTTGTAAAATGGGAGTAATAAGCTGTTTAACAATTTTAGTGAGAGGATTGTGAAGTAATACATGCAGGATACTCAGCCCTGTGCCTGGCCCATAGTGGTATGTAGGTAGAGTCGTTAGCTATGATTATGTTACTGCATTTTAATACTCATTATAAAGACTATGCAAGCTGGGCAGTAACTTTGGCACTCGCCCCTCCACAGCAATACACTGCTTCCCCTACGTGAAGAAGAGGATCCCCGTCATGTACCAGCATCACACTGATCTGAACCCCATCGAAGTGGCTATCGACGAAATGAGCAAGAAGGTGGCAGAACTCCGACAGCTGTGCTCCTCGGCCGAGGTGGACATGATCAAGCTGCAGCTCAAGCTCCAGGGCAGTGTGAGCGTTCAGGTGCGTGCCAGTGCCCAGGAGAGAGGCGGACATAGTGCGAGGAGGAGAAGCTCCTTTGCTCCTTGGGAACATTCAGACCAGTGAGATCTAGTTTAGATAGATCCTTGGGTTTTACCATGTGATCCCCAGTTCACCTTCCCCCAGTACCTTTTCAGTTAAATCAGAGGGAGAACAGCCCTAGGCTCCCCGCCGCCCCACCTTTGAGATTTGTCATTCTTACTATACTGTTAGCCAAGGACAGCTTTCCATGCTACCCTGATTTTTCAGTGACTCGAGGAAGTCTAGGTGCCTAATTGGAAGCAGCAAGGCTCTTCTTAATATAAGGTGTGAATAGCAGTAGCAATAGATTGTCTTATAAAACTATTGTTTTCTGGTTTCTGTGAAAATAGAAAAAAGTATGTGACGTTTCACTCTCTTAATGATATCTTTTGATTAATAGAAATTCTTCATTTTAACACAGCCCAGTTGATCAGTTTTTCTTGTGCCCTTGTAAGAAATTTGTGCCTATTCTAAGGTTTCAAACATGATGGACATACATCTTATTCCTTTGTTTAGCGTTGACATTTAGATCTCCAATCCATCAGGAATTGAGTTTTGTATATAGTTCAAAAAGAGGTATATTTTTTTTCTAATGTTCACCATTGATTGACAAGCTAATTCTTGATCTAGATATACATTACACAAGTATCTTCAGTGTGTGATGTACATGTATTATGCTTCCACCTTTCTGTTTGGAGATTGTATACTTTAGTAACAGGTTTTTAGAAAAATACCATATGGTTTCCTAAGCAATTGGCAAATAATATTCAATCACTTCCCTCCAATAATCAGTATGCCTTTTGCTTTATTGATATTTTTAAGTGTATATAAGTACAAATAAAATGTATATTTTATATACATATATACACTTAAAAATATCTTCTATCTATATTTTTCTATACCTCATTCTTTCCTCTTTCTGAATTCTTAAGGATATGTTCATGAAACATAGATTATAATACATAGGCTTTTTGTGGGAGGTCAGCTTTTCATAAGATCCATGCTAAAAGGACGACGGGTTGCTTGTTGCCTAACATTTTTCTAAATGTCATCCACCACAAAGTATTTGCAGATGTTTTGGACTTCTTTCCTTATGGCCCAGAAGACTGACTTACCAAATTGAGTTGTTACCAAGTGAATGATTACGTAATAGGACAGAAGCCACAACTTTCAGCAACTTAAACCCACTCAGTCAATACCCAGGCAACTCCATCCTCTGTTGGGAAGGCCAGTAGAGGGGTGTGGGCTCCAGTAAGGCTGGAGCTGGGTAGGTTTATGGAACTTTCTAAAGGGCAAAATGTGCCCCACAGTTTGACAGTGACCTTAGAATTTTATAAAATGCCCAGTCATCTTTAAAAGCACAAATTACAGAATGAATTGAGGACATTAAATTTATACTTGTGTACCCACCAAGGTAACAACAGAATTGGAGCCATGGAAAATTAACTATCATTTTATTCATGTATTTCTGCAATTCTTTCACCAGGAGGCTCCTGTCTTATAGAACAGAGCTATCAGGGTAGCTTCTTGGTTCTGTGTTCTACAAGTGTGTTTTATTAGATCTTATGAAGTCTTATCAGTTTTTTCTTAATATTGAATCTATTGTATCATTTTGGGTAGTTGGATCTTCAGGTTATTAACGTGCTTCCACACACACACACAGTCTGATCCTAAGTCCTGCCCTTAGACATGGTTCAACCATGTTGTGACATGCATCAGGACTTTCTCTTTATGGCTGAAGAATAATCTATTGTAGGTGTAGGTCATGTTTTGTTTATCCATCTGTTGATGGACGTTTCAGTTTCTACCTTTTGGCTATTGTGAACAGTGGTGCAAGGAATAGTAATGTACAGGTTTCTGTTTATATTCCTGCTTTGACTTTTTTTGGGGGGAAATACACTTGGAATTGCTGGGTCATATGATAGCCTATATTCAACTTTGTGAAAATATGCTGAGCTGTTTTCCACAGCCGCAGTACCATTCTACATTCCCACCAACAATGGCCGAGAGTCCAAGTTTTTCCACATCCTTGCCAACGCTGTCATTCTGAGAGCAGTGAGGTGGTATTGCATTGTGGTTTTAATTTGCCGCTCCCTAATGACTAGTGATGGAAGATTGAGCAGTGGAGGGCTCCCTATGAGTCAGGTCACAGGTCACATTCCACAGCAATGAGGGTTTTTTTTGGTCATGACTAATGAAGGAGCTCTGGTGGTACTGTGCTTAAAGCATTGGGCTGCTAACCAAAAGGTTGGCAGTTTGAACCCACAAGCTGTTTCACAGAGGCAGTTTTAAAGATGTAACAGCCTTGGAAATCCTGTGGGGGCAGTTCTACTCTATGCTAGAGGATTGCTGTGAGTCAGAATCGACTCAATAGTAGTAGAGTGATGATGACTAGTGACATTGAGCATCTGTTTCAGCTGTGTGTGTTGGCCATGTGAATATCCTCTGGTGAAAATGCCATGTCCTTGACCCATTTTTTTTTTTTTTAAATTTACATAGCATAGTGCCTAAGGCACTTGACTGCTAACCAGAAGGCTGGTGGTTCAAACCCACCAGCCACTCCTTGGAAGGATGATGGGGCAATCTACTTCTGTAGTGATACTGCCTCAGAAACCCAAGGAGGGGTCGCTGTGAGTCGGGTCCAACTCGACAGCACGTAACAACAAAAACAACACAGTGAAATACACAAAACTAAAGTGACTTGGCTCATTTTTTATTAGGTTGTTTTTTTGTTGTTAAATTGTAGCTACATACATATATGTATTTTGGATATTAGACCCTTATCAGATATGGTTCCTGAAAACTTTCATTCTGAAGGTTATCTTTTCACTTTGTTGATAAGTCTTTGGTAAATGAAAGTATTTCATTTTTATGCACTTCTATTGATCACGGTAGCATAGTGCCTAAGGCACTTGACTGCTAACCAGAAGGCTGGCAGTTCAAACCCACCGGCCACTCCTCTGAAGGAAAATGGGGCAATCTACTTCCATAGTGATACTGCCTCGGAAACCCAAGAAGGGGTCCCTATGAGTCAGGTCCAACTCGACGGCACATAACCACCTATTCTGTCCATTGCTGCTCATGTGTTGTCATATCTAAGCATTAAAATGTATGTGCTATAGCTGTGATCCTATATTTCCTGGTAAGAATTATGTGGTTTTAGTTTTCAATTAGGTTCTTGATCCATTTTGAATTGGTTTGTGAGTATGGTGTGGATCCTGATTCATTTTCTTACATATGGAAATCTTTTGTATTTATTAAACAGACTCCTCTTTCCCCATTAAATGGACTTAGCACCCTGGTCAAAAATCAGTTGCCCATGTATGAGTTTCTGTACTGTCTATTCATCAGTCTGTATGCTTATTACACCAGACCAGGCTGTTTTGATTACAGTGGCTTTATAGTATGCTTTGAAATCAGGAATTGTGAGTTCTCTTACTTAATTCTTCTTCTAGATTGTTTTAGCTATTCCAGGTCCCTTGCCCTTCCATGTATATTTCATTACTGGTTTTTCCATTTCTGCAAGGTAGCTGTTGGAATTTTGCATTGAATTTATAGATTTCCTTTGGGTAGTTATTCACATCTTAACTATATTAAGCCTTCCAATCCATGAACATGGAATGTCCTATTTATCTAGGTCAGCCTTAATTTCCTTTAGTGATGTTTTATAGTTTTCTGTGTACAAGTCTTTCACATTCCTAGTTACTTTATTCTTTTAGTTGCTGTTGTAACTGATAATGTTTCCTTAATCTCATTTTCAGCTTGCTCATTGCTGATATATATAGAAATGGAAATTATTTTTGTGTGTTAACCTCGTACCTTGCAACTTTAGCCTTCTTGTGAAATATTAATTCTTTATGTATAAAATTGGGTCATTTGGGAAGAGGAAACATTTGGAAACGTTTTACTTTACTTCCTTTTTTTCCAATTTAGGTATCTTTCATTATTTTGGGGCTGGGACCTCCAGGATTAGGTTGAATAGTAATGGTGAGAGAAATTTCCCTTCTATTCCTAATATGAGTGTTTTTTGTATGTATCATGAAAAGGGTGTTGAATTTTGTCAAATGGATTTTCTTCAGTGATTGATCATTTGGTTCTTATCCTTTGATTGTGGTAGTTGTGTGTCAGCTTGGCTGGGCAGCTGGATGTAGTATTGCCCATGATGAGACTGGTAATCAACTCCATGGTGGAATCTACTGTGAGCAGCTGCTTTAGGAATGTGGTTTGCTTCCTGTATATAAGGAATAGCTTTGAGAAAGGTCTCTGGAGCTTTTTGGCATGCTGGGACCCTGCACATAGCCAAGTCTTCATTCAGCAGCCTATGATGTTGGCCTGCCAATCTTG